CCGATTTGAGACGAGATTTGAGTGCTAATTGGGATCCTAATTCAGATGGTTCAAGGAATATGCCTTCAACTACAATCAGGTTCCTGATGCAATTTCAGAACTACTCCTTTAAGTGTAAACTGTACGTACAGCGGGGATTGAAAGAAAATGAACCCTAAACCCTAAACCCTAAACCCTAAACCCTAAACCCTAAACCCTAAACCCTAAACCCTAAACCCTAAACCCTAAAGCCCAAACCCTAAACCCTCCCCCTTAAGTTAGTGACTGTGGAGTCTCTTGGGAGCGACCGTGCCCGCGCCTGATCGCTGGCGGCCGCGGCGGCAGCAAAAGCCACAGCCGGCGAGCTCGGGTCCAACTGTAGGGCCCTGAGAGCTATCTAGAGGGTTTAGGGTTTAGGGTTTAGGGTTGAGGGTTGAGGGTTGAGGGTTTAGGGTTTAGGGTGTAGGGCAATTTTTGGGTTAGTTGCACGGTCCCTTAGTATGGGCCCTTAGACGGGGACCCCTTACATACCCCTTTTTACCTAAGGATCCCCAAAGCCACTATATAGGAACCCCTGTAAGGCCCAAGAAAAAACTACATAGGTTGAACGTACCCATCGGGGTACCCCATTTATACCCCCAACAGAGTAAAATTCCCTTAAAGACCCCACAAAGGGCACCCCCATTTTCGGAAACCCCCTTAGAGGGCATGTGTGGAGGGTCTTGGGAGTTGCAGATCTTTTGACAAATTCAGGGGTGGTACAGGGTTTACAAGGCAGAGGCATCAGGGGTTCTCCGGGTACACCCGAGAGCGTGTGAGTTTCTGGGAAATCTCGGGGCCTCCCCTAAGCCCTGCACCCTGGCAGAAGAGTAACCCCTAAACCCCAATCCCAAAACCCTAAACCCTAAATCCTAAACCCGAAAGCTTAACCCAAACCCTAAACCCTAAACCCTAAACCCTAAACCCTAAACCCTAAACCCTAAACCCTAAACCCTAAACCCTAGACCCTAGACCCTAGACCCTAGACCCTAGACCCTAAACCCCAAACCCCATCCCCGCCTTCTGAGGAGCTGCTCACCGGTCCACCTCGCCACTCCAGCGATGGCCGCGCCTTTGACTTTGACTGACTTGGGGCGGACCCCAAGGCTCCTAGCATCGTATCCCTTGGTAGGGGAGGATACCTTAAAGTATAAGAGTAGTTCTCTGTGCTTTAAAGCGCTAGTTTGCCTAATTCTTGAGCCAGATTCAAATGGTTCGACCCAGGTCCTAGTTTAGGGTTTGGGTTTAGGGTCTAGGGTCGAGGGTTTAGGGTTGAGGGCGGTTTCCGAAATTGGATCCTGCTACTTGGGGAGTTCTCGCGGGGGGGGGGGGGGGGGGGGGGGGGGGGGGGGGAAGAGTGGACTGGAAAGAATCTGCAAGTCCGTCATTGCCCATTGCTAACTGAGTTTGGCCTTGGTCTTGCTGTTGGGTGATTAGTTATAAGTAGGGATATATGCATCCTTCTCTAACTAGGGCTCTAGCCGCTTGTAAGCATACCTACCCGTACACTCCCGTGAAGCACCGTAGATTTTGTATTTGGGGTTGAGGGTTGAGGGGTTGTCGAGTTTCAGGAATGATTTGACCGAAGCCTGAAACCTTCAGCCCCGAACCCCAACACCCTAAACTCCCCTTAAACCCGACCCTCAGCTCTACTAGAACGGGCCCACCTCAACACCCCTAACACCCCCCTGACCCCCCCTAAACCCCCTAAACCTCCTAAACCTCCTACAGTAATCTCCCGAAACTCCCTAAACCCTAAACCCCTAAACTCCCTAAACTCCCTAAACCCAAAACTTCCTAAACTCCCCACGCCCTAACCTCCCTAAACTCTCTAAGCCCGACACCTCCCGTACCCCCAAAGCCAGGCCTTGGTCTTCGGGAACGTGCTCGTCAAGCCAGGAGCTGGCGCTGGGCCAGCCTGCTGGGTTCAGGGGTTTCGGGGTTTAGGGGTTTAAGGTTTAGGGGGCTTTAGGGGGGTTTAGGGGGGCTTAGGGGGGTTTAGGGGGTTTTATGGGGGTTTGGTGGGTTCAGGGGTTTGGTGGGGTTTAGGGCTTTAGAGGTTTAGGGCTTAAGGTTTAGGGCTTTAGGGGTTTAGGGCGCTAGGGGTTTGAGTGTTTAGGGGTTTAGGGGTTTGGAGGTTTAGGGGTTTCGGGCTTTAGGGGTTTGCGGGTTTAGGGGTTTAGGGGTTCAGGGGTTTAGGGGTTCAGGGGTTTAGGGGGGTTTAGGGGTTTAGGGGTTTGGGGGTTTAGGGCTTGAGAGGCTTAGGGTTTAAGGTTTAGGGCTTTAGGGGTTTAGGGCTTAGGGAGGTTTAGGGGTTCAGGGGTTTAGGGGTTTCGAGGCTTAGGGGTTTAAGGTTTAGGGGTTCGAAGGTTTAGGGGTTTAGGGGTTTGGGGGTTTAGGGCTTGAGAGGTTTAGGGTTTAAGGTTTAAGGCTTTAGGGGTTTAGGGTTCAGGGGTTTAGGGGTTCAAGGGTTTGGGGGTTTAGGGGTTTCGAGGTGTAGGGGTTTAGGGTTTAGGGCTTAGGGTTTAGGGGGCTTTGGGGTTTTAGGGGTTTAGGGGTGTAGAGGTTTGGGGATTTAGGGGTTAGGGCTTAGGGTTTAGGGTTTGGGGGGGCTTGGGGTTTAGGGTTGAGAGGCTTGGGGGGGTTTCGGGTTGAGGGTTTGGGAGTTTTGCGGTGTTGGGGTTTCAGGGGTTCCTGGTGAGGTAGTTGCGGCTTATGCCCCCCACCGGTGGCACGCGGCGTGACTCCCACAGTCCTCGCCGCTCGCCTTCGAGCCTGCGCTGGAGGCGGTCACGGGTATAGGACGCTGCAAGTCGGCGATGTTTTCGCCCGACCCAGGGGCGCAGCAGCAAGCACACACTGAGGCAGCATGAGGAGCTCTCGCCAAGCATGCTCAGTGCTGTGGTGTCCCGCAGCCGCCAACGCTCGGCAATCGAATTCCCCCCCATCATTCACAAAAGATCCCTAAGAAGACTATCATCGACGCACGCGCGATGCTCTTGGATTTGGCTTCGGGTATGTCTGACCGTTGCTTCATGATGTCCTGGCTGAAGTAAAGTTTTAAACCCTAAGCCCTAAGCCCGAAGCCCTAGGCCCTGAGCCCTAAACCCTAATCCTGAAGATCAAAAAGCGGATCGTGCTCCGGAGAAAAGGTTCATGCTCATACAAGGTCCATGGCACCTATACCCCTGAGGACATAATCACAAAGTTGAGGGTTTAGGGTTTAGGGTTTAGGCGTTAGGCTTTAGGGTGAATTTGTGAAAATGTTCGCTGGGGCAATTAACAAAAGGCCTTACTATACTCACGTGCCCTCAAATTTGCTTCACGGGCATATGCCATAAACGGGCCATAGCCTATGAGCTTGAGAAAGCACCAGGATTGCCTCGCAAATCGCATGTGCCGCTGCCCAGATGCGCACCTGGTTCCCACTGAACCCTAAAATTCCCTATTTGGGGGAGAGGGTGGCAGGGGTGGGTAGCTAAGGAATGTGTTGGGATCTTCTCTGGCCTGTTTCCCCTAGACCTTACCCACCTGCCTTCAGAAACTAGGCCTGAGCCAACTGGAAACTTGTCCGACCGAGAACTCGTCCCAGCTTCCTCCACCTTATAACAACAACAACCCCAAAGCCCTTGAACTACCCTTTCAGCCCCTTAAAGGTTCGACTCTCCACGTCCTTAACCCTTTACACCCTCCAAACCCTCAGACTGAAGAAACCAAAAAAGTGTAGGGTAGGCTATGCGCATGCGGGATCATGGTAGGGTAATTAGCCTACAAGAAGGCAGGAGCTCGATCCCAATCCAGCGTAACCTCGGAATCAAAACATGTGTCCTCTTCAGTTTCCAGTGCTTACAGAGACTCGGAACCCTAAACCCTAAACCCTAGACTCTCCGTCCCTCCCTAAGCCCTACAGAGACCCGGAACCCTAAGCCCCAAGCCCTAATCCCCAAACGGGTTCAAGCAACAGTTGGCCCTCCAAGACTGTCCGGTTCTTCGTGTAAGGACTCTGTGGGTCACGCACTGTTTGCCCCAAACCTTGGGATGTTCCCCCTTAGACTAACAGTTCTTCATGGGGAATATAGTAGGGCACTATGATCCCTATTCAGAAATATTAGTAGAAGGGGGAACATCCCAACCTAGACCCTGAACCCTGAACCCTGAACCCTGAACCCTCAACCCTAAGCCCTAAACCCTCAACCCTAAACCCTACAATCGCAGCCACGCTGCCTAGCTCTGCCGCGGCCGCGGCGTCCTTTGGCTCCAACTCGAGAGCTGCGGCCTCGGGTGCTGAAGTTGTTTTTCGGGGTTTAGAGGTTTAGAGGTTTAGGGTTTAGGGGTTTAGGGTTTAGGGTGTTTAAGGTGTCTTCCGGGTGCTTTTAGGGTGTTTCAAGGGTGTTTTAGGCTGCTGTTTGGGAGGTTTCAAGCTTTTTGGAGCGCTTCAACTGTTTAGGGTTTTGGGGTGCTTCAAAAGGTTTTCTTAGGGTGCTCTGAAAGCGGCTAAAGGCATTTGGGGTGTTTCAAGGGTGTTTTTAGGGTCGTTTAGGGGAATAGGGTCACAGGGGGCTGAAGGAAGGGATACTAAGGCTTAGGCTTTAGGGGCTTAGGGCTTAGGGGTTCAAGGTTCAGACGGCACATAAACCTTCAACTCCTGCAGGTTACCTGCGCTTAGGGATGAGAATTCAGGTCTTGTGCCTTGACTGCGACCATCGACGACTGACTCTCTGCAAGGCACCCTGCATCGCAAGATTCCCAGCTGCAATGTGGGGGCCTATTCAAGCGGAATGGGGTTTAGGGCCTTGGGATTCGGATATCTGGGGTAGCTCAAACTTTCAGACCGGTATATAGGATTCCACCGAGATAAGATCTGCAATTCTCCAGGCTCCTGTGTTGGAACGGTTCCCCTCCTTGGGTCCAACGCTGGCGGTTTAGGGTTTAGGGTTTAGGGTTTAGGGTTTAGGGTTAAGGGATTGAGGGATTACCGGCACAGGCGGGCGCCCCAGCTTTTGCGCCAGCGCCTCTGCGAAGTGTCGCCACCCCTCCAGGAAGAGCTCGGTGGGAATCTGGGAGTTGGCCGGGCCCATGAGAAACTCGAAGTAGAGCTCCTCCTCCTGTGTTTCAGGGTTTAGGGTTTAGGGTTTAGGGTTTCGGGCTAAGGGTTTAGGGCTAAGGGTTTAGGGTTTAGGGGTTAGGAAGCCCACTTCTAGGGGTCTGTTGAACACTTTCATACGTAGGAGTTTGCGGTACTGTTGTGAGATGTTGGAGTGATAGGGCCCGAAGCCCTAAACCCTAGACTCCTTATGGCTCCTCTATTCCCTTGAGCTATGTTGGTTGTGTATGGAGGGCTAAAGTGTATGGAGGACTGCAGGCGCGGAAACAGATCCGGAGGTGCCTTGTTTGTCTTGTTTCTCTGAAGAGGCAAGGTCATATTCCTAGGGGAGCATCTGCCGAGCGTATTTACTGGGACCAAAAACGGGTTCCCATGTGACAACTTCAGGCTCATGTACATACTACACATGCTATGTGGGTACTGGACCGTTCGGGTACATCGCTACACACACACACACACAGACAGAGACACAATGCATGTCTCAGAAGGCGCAGTCACATACCCAACATGAAAACGCGTGATCAGCTCGTCGTAGAACCTCGTTCACCACCATACTCGATGTTTCATTATATAACAAGCCAAATTCATCTGAATTCGGAGAGTCTAGATACATGCCGCAGCCGAAATTAAGTTTAACAGCTTAAGAAGCTCGTGTCGCGGCGCTTCAAAGCATTTCAAGACCCAACATTGTCCAGCTTGTGCCAGATGGGAGGCAGGCCCGTAGGCAGGCCCGTGCTGCATGCAGCACACAGTGGAACGGAAATTCGAATTCCCAATCAAAGGGAAATTCCTGCGTCTTGACTCTCAAGCCTCTGCCCCCTCACCCCCCGCACACCTGAAGGCCCTAGAATCCTGGATCCTATCCTAGGCCCGATGCACCCGAAACCCCAACCCTCTGAACCCGCTAAACCCCCCCCTAAACCCAAACCCCCTGAACTCCCCTAACACCTAAGCCCCGCCTTAAGCCCCCGCCAAAACCCTAAACCCTAAACCCTAGGCCCTAAACCCTAAACCCAAACCCCAGGCCCTAACCCTAAACCCTAAACCCCAAACCCCAAACCCCAAACCCTAAACCCTAAACCCTAAACCCTAAACCCTAAACCCTAAACCCTAGGCCGTGCCTCAATGGGAGCCTCCTCTTCCCGGAAGTCCGCGGGATAGCCGCGCCCTCGCAGGCGGCTCCAGAGCTTCAGCCCAAGCGCGGCCAAGACGCCTTTAACGTTTAGGGTTTAGGGTTTAGGGTTTAGGGTTAAGGGTTTAGGGTTTAGGGTTTGGATAACAGTGAGCACAAGCAGAAGCACCAGGAAAAGCAGGACAACATGGCCAGGAAAAACTTGGGCGTTTCCGCTGCGACTTGTTGTGCTCCAGTTTGTGTTGTTTCTGGTGCGACTTTGTCTGCTCCTGTTCATGGTTTCTTCCTGTCTTGTGAACTGCAGGCCAAGGAGAAGTGGCAGCGCACAGGTTTCTAGTGAGGTTTGTCGAGGCCTTTGCTGTACGGAACAGACGTCTTCCCCGCTTTTTCCTGCTGCATTTTTGCCCCCCAAGCCCCAAATCTGCCAAGGCACCGTCATGGGCCGCTTGCAAAGCCCCCTCATCACCTCAACGTATGAGGGTTCGGGTTGGGGCCTTGTGGTTCAGGGGACCTACTCAGAACCTGACTAGGAAGTGGTGTTGTGAGTAGGTCATGATTACAAGCTACATAGGGGTTGTAAGGATGGCATTGGTCATCATTTGGGCTGCGGCATTCGAATCCTCCTCCCTGCTGAGTTCCCCAGAAAAAGCTTCTTGAAGTCGTGGCTTTCTCGGCACATGTCGGCACCCTTTCTTTTGTCAACCCTGAACCCTAAACCCTAAACCAGGAAACCCAAATAAGGATCCCAAACATATGTGTCTTGTAGATGCTTTGGGAGTTTGGGGATGTCGAAGGTTTTCAAGGTTCCAAGGTTCAGTTTCGGCCGCTTCCGAGGGGTGGAAGCTCAGCCGGTTTCAGGTTTAGGGCATGGCCTCACTAGCTTGCAACATTGTAGGTTCAGCTGCAACTCTACCTACGTACATCAATATGTATGTGTATAGACATGTATACGTACATATATATATATATATACACATGTATACGCACATATATATATATATGTATATATATGTATGTGTGTGTACATGTAGGGTATAAACCTCCCTATATATATATATATGTAGTCATCTACTTCTTCATTCACCTGCTGCTTTATTTATGCATGGAAACAGGATGCCCAGGAGACTGAAGCACTGAGCTTCCCGGCCTCGAAGATAGACGTGGATCATACAGGATTCGGGCTTCGGTGGCTCGAAGCGCAGCAGAGAGCTTAGCGTGGGATCGGCGCTCATGGCTTCTACCAGCTCCTGTTTTGAGAAACTCCGGTATCCCATCAATACGGCATATATGGTTCCGTGTCCCGTGTCGGTACCCCCCCCCCCCCCCACCCCCCATGGTATCCCCCCCCCCCCCCCCACCCTAAACCCTATACCCTAACCCTAAACCCAAAACCCAAACCCAAACCCCAAACCCTAAACCCTAACCCTCACCCACCACACCACCCCACAGGGGGGCCATGGGGGGGGGGGGGGGACCATGGGGGGGGGGGGGGGGTGGGGGGGGTGGGTGGGGCAGCGACGCTGCACCATATATTCGGAGAGCCCTGAACCCTGTAAACCCTATATTAAGATCACAGGTACAACTTAAGGACTTAGTGCTCCAATAAAGCATGTCGGTTGGGCACCCTTTTCAGGCAACGTATCCTAAATATGAGGCTCTGTATTACAGGCAGGAACTCAAGAGGGGGACGCGAATTTGGGTTTAGTCTGAAAACACACACATAAATATAGCCCTCTTAAAAAAAACAACCCAACAAGGGGAAATGTAAAAAGTCCTAAGGGCTTACCGAGTACAGCAGACAACAATCACTGGGCGCTGCCAGCAGCTGATGATGATCCTGTGCCCACTTATCCTTCAAAGGGAGTGTCCTGCAGCTGCGCAAAGCGCTGGTTGAAGGAGCCCGCATAAGTCCGGAATTGCTCCTACAGGTGCTTAATAGGCTTAAGGGTTAGGGCCTGTGGGTTCCTCCTCCTTGGCTTACAGACCCTTGCTTAAACAGCTGGAATTTTCTAGACACACTCGCAGGCACGCAATCAACAAGTAACAAAGAGCTACATCCAGAAATGAGGATGCCATGGAGGTCCGAGGATCCCTGGCGTCCAGCCACTGTGGGGTGAGCGTGAAGAGGCTACCACCCAGACCTAGCTCATGGTTGGGGTAGTATTAAAAAACCTAACTTTCCATCCCTTATTGAGTCTTAGTACCCTTATAAATGTCTATTCCTTATTGAGTCTTTGTTACCCCCAAAAAAAGTAGCAAAATGTTACCCCACTATGACAGAGCGACGGGCCCGCCAATCTGCCGCAAGAGAAGCCACCGATTCCGTGGTTGCCAGGAGGGCTCCCGCCATGCCCCCGAAGCCCTTGTACCAGGAGATGTACACGGAATCAAACCTGCAAAATCCAGAGGGCTTGGGGTTTGGGGTTTAGGGCTTAGGGCTTAGGGTTTGGGGTTTAGGGTTTAGGGTTTGGGGTTTAGGGTTTAGGGTTTTGGGTTTAGGGTTTGGGGTTTGGGGTTTCGGGTTTCGGGTTTAGGGACACCGTGCGCCGTGTACACCACGAATCCTGAAACGGCTGCAACGACGAAGTGAGTAAGTACACAAGAGCCTAACAGTTCCACCAATATCTCTCTAGCACCAAACTGCCCAAAAAACCTGCTCCCATTCAAGAGCTCACCCTCCTCTCCATGCCAAACATCCAAGAAACAGGGCGCAAACTTCATGGGCATCGCGGCCATAGTACGGCACGGCCTCAACACGAGTGCGAGATGAAGGGTGCTCGAAATTATTCGCCAGATAGGGTTTAGGTTGAGGGCGTCGGGTCTTTTTGTCAACTTCACGCTTTGGGCGTTCTGGCAGAGCAGGTATTTGGGCGCTTCCTGGACACCATCACAGACAGAGTCGAGCTCCATGCATACTACAATCGCCCCGAAGTATCACGCAACTTGGACACTGTGATTGCTAAGCTTGAAGGTTAGGACTTCGAGCATATAGGCTTGAGAGAGTGACTAGTGTGAAAGCTTGCTATAGGGTGAACCTTTTATAAACCCTAAACCCTGAACCCTAAACCCTAAACCCTGAACCCTGAACCCTGAACCCTCAACCCTAAACCCTAAAGAAACCCTAAACCCTAACTCAACCCTAAACCCTTGGGACGCTACTTTCGCACAGCGGAGGCCGTGCCTCGAACAAGCGAGCCCCGTCCATGTGCAGCCGCGCACCCGACTGCGTCACAAGGCGTCGGATTTCAGTTAGAGCTTCCCAAGAGCACGAACGCCCTCCGTTCCTTGGACTTGGGTTCCAGGGGGTTGGGTTGAGGCCGGGGCGTGTCATCGGGCTTCTACCCTACGCTTCAGATACGAAGGCTTGCAATTGATGGCAATGGGTTTGTGGTTTCTGGGTTTATGGGGATGTTGAAGCCTTTGTAAGAGGCCCCGCCGTGATATGGGGGTCGTCATAAAAATAATTACAAATAGTATTCCCTTATGGTCCCTTCATAACACTATCATCATAGCCCCCAAAACCCTATTCTAATTCTTAAGGCCCCTTATAACCCTAAACCCTAAACCCTAAACCCTAAACCCTAAACCCTAAACCCCAAACCCTAAACCCTAAACCCTAGCCCAGCTTCATCCGCTGAGGAATCTCGACCACCACCACGTCGCCCAGGCGCAGCGCGGCGAGGTCGCTGGGGCGCATGGGCTGCGCGAAGTCGCCCACCACTTCCACTCCTTCGTCGCCCAGTAGCCATATCATAAGAAGGGTTTAGGTTTAGGGTTTAGGGTTTAGGGTTTAGGGTTTATTTAGGGTTTAGGGTTTAGGGTTTAGGGTTTAGGGTTTAGGGCCCTTTTTTGGGGTCGGTTGCTTTATCACGGAACCCATGACCCCTCCCCCCCCCCCCCCCCCCAAAAAAAAAAAAAAAAAAGGGTGAAGGGTACCACTGGGCTGCCAAGACTCTGAAGGCCGGGAGACGATCTACCTCACTTTTAGGGTTTAGGGTTTAGGGTTTAGGGTTTAGGGTTTAGGGTTTAGGGTTTAGGAGTGAAGGGCAAGACGTAACTTTCAACAGACGCTGCAGAATCGAACGTGTTCTTGGAGACACTTGGCACCGGAGCTATCGTAGAGTTTAGTTTCGATTTGCTTGGTTGGGGGGCTTTAGGCACCCTAAACCCTAAACCCTAAACCCTAAACCCTAAACCCTAAACCCTAAACCCTAAACCCTAAACCCTAAACCCTAAACCCTATCAGGGCTAAATCCATCAGCCAGACCCGCCTCCGGCCCTCTGAGGTGCTATGAGCAGCTAAAAGGGAAAGAGCTGCCTTAGCCGGAGCCGAGCCTCGAAGTCCACAAGCCCTCAGAAAGCCCTCAAAGGCCCCTAAAAAAGCCAGCGCGCGAAACCCTCAACACCCTAAACCCTAAACCCTAAACCCTACACCCTAAACCCTAAACCCTAAACCCTACACCCTAAACCCTAAACCCTGAACCCTAAACCCTAAACCCTAAACCCCAAACCTCGTGGAGAAAGCGAGCCGCAGTGCCTCTGGCCAACCTCGCCTGAGCTGGCCCATCCCGCAGGCAGTCGTGATGGATCAAGTGGGACCTTGGTTTCTGGATCCATGTGCTTCGGGGTTTAGGGTTTAGGGTTTAGGACCTGGTGTTCCTCTAAATGCCTTCAGATGATGCGTCTTGCGCATACAACATCTGAGCTTTTGTAGAATCGGTCGACGTAGCAAGCAGACACAAGCAGAGCTACCAAGTGCAATTCCAAAGGGACAGTAAGAGCGTTGGGTTTCACAGGGTAGATAAGGGGTCCCCTTTCAAGGGCCCATATTAAGGACCTACACCCTAAACCCTAAACCCTAAACCCTAAACCCTAATAAGCCCTGGCCCGCCTACTAGGTCCCCCGATTCCTCCAAGCAAGGACCGCCCAAGGTGCGTGGGATGCAAAAACAGCCTTCCCGAAGACGGGTCCTTGGACGGCCACAAAAACTCACAAAAAACTTTAAGGTTTAAGATGATGCTTAGGGTTTTGGGTTTCCGGACTGCCCAAAAAAACTTAAGGCTTTAGGGTGTTTTTTTTTTTGGGTTTTGGGGCTTCAGGTTTATCACGCTTACGGTGTGGCTTTGTTTCTAGGGTCCAAGCCCCCAAAACTCTAAACCCCTAAGACTCCAAATTCCGAACCCCTCCGAGGAAGTTGGGGCAGTTGGCGAAGCAGGCGAAGTGTCTTCAGCCCTTGCAAGCATCGAGAGCCCGAAAACTATCTAGCAGGAAAAGCAAACTGCAAAACTTTTCGGACTTCAGGTTTGAGGATGCCATCTACCCTGCTACCTCACCTTGAGGGTGTTTAGGGTTTGGGGTTTAGGGTTTGGGGCTTAGGGTTTCGGGTTTGGGGTTTAGGGTTTAGGGTTTGGGGTTTAGGGTTTTGGCAGTCATCCGTCATGATCACCCAGGCTCCATCTGCTGTACGTGGGCATGCAGAGCCGCGCGCTGGGCCAGCGTGCCGCTGGGAAAGAAGAGCCCTGCCTTTAGGGTATTAGGGTGCAAGGGGCTTATGGTTTACGCCCACCATCACAGAGGAACAACACCTAAGCTAAAATCCTAAACCCTAAACCCTAAACCCTAAACCCTAAACCCTAAACCCTAAACCCTAAACCCTAAACCCTCAACCCTCAAGCCTAACCGCCTGTGGCCTTCCCTCACTTGCAGAAACCCCCTGAGCCTCTTTTCCCAGGAACCGGGCCACCTCGGCGATCCGAAGGGGTGAGGGGTTTAGGGTTTAGGGTGAGGGGTTTAGGGTTTAGGGTTTGGGGTTTGGGGTTTGGGGTTTAGGGTTTAGGGTTTAGGGTTTAGGGTTTGGGGTTTGGGGTTTGGGGTTTAGGGTTTAGGGTTTCTGGCTTAGGTTCTGAAAAAGGAACCCTCTCCTTTCCAAACCACCCACAGCCCATGCTCCTGCAACAAACACCTGCAACCTGAAACGCCAAAGGTAAGCTTAGCTCATTGGTTGAGGCTCTTGAAGTTTAGGGTTTAGGGCTTAGGGCTTAGGGTTTAGGGTTTAGGGTCTAGAGGGCTGAGCCTTTCCATGGGTAAGACATGGGGAAGACCGAGGGCAAAGAGACCAAAAGGCAAAGAGACCAAAAGGCAAAGACCACATGATGTATTGTTTCTCCAAAATAAAACTCCAGGAACTTAACGGTCTTCCTCTCGGGGGGGTTCGGCGTGAATGGGCCCACCTTCATCCTCAGCCCCACAAGACCAAAACCCGCAAAAGCCTAACCTAAAGCCTAAAGCCTAAAGCCTAAAGCCGAAACCCTAAACCCTAAACCCGAAACCCCCAAAACCCCAGACAGCTCAGAGAATGTCAGTAACGCCTGTTTGGCCACAAGAGCCGACAAAGCAAAAGCCGTCACGTGAGCAGACGAATTGCAGAGAAAGAGCCCTTAACCCTAAACCCGAAACCCTAAACCCGACGCCCTAAACCCTAAACCCTAAACCCTAAACCCTAAACCCTAAACCCTAAACCCTAAACCCTAGACCCTAGACCCTAAACCCTAAACCCTAACATGGCCTCGCGACCTCGGATTCAAACGATTGGAGCTCCGTGCTGCGGCCATAGATGTCCGCCTCGAGCGCTTCGGTGGCGGCCACCTTGCACAAGGAGTTTCGTCATAGGGTTTAGGGTTTAGGGTTAAGGGTTTAGGGCTAAGGGTTTAGGGTTTCGGGTTTACAGCTAAGAGTTGAGGGTTAACGCTAGAACGTGAACCACCCAGACTCCTTCCAAGCTCTGCATAGGAAGCCATGGTCGGTCTGAGTCAAAAGGCCTTTCAGCATGCAGTTAATTTGGCTGGCGCGCTGTTCCTGTGCGCCCGACATGCAGACACGTCCATGCTATGAAATCTACTGCATGCTGCCCCTCATTCAGGCAACCTCGTGCAGACATACTCAACGAGTGTGAAGGCTCCGATTCAACGCCCCGTGAACCGGATGGCCTCGGCCAATCGATGGAGCCGCTGCGCCAAGCTTTCAGCAGGAAAGGGCGCGCTGAGATCGTACCGCGCCATGGTGACGGTCTGAGGGTGTAATTAGGGCTTACGGCCTCGAAGCTTTCAGAATTGTTAAAGGACAGCGCCAAGTCTGCTTTTTGGGGGCGGCAGATCTAACTTGTGGACTTGCAGGGTTTTGGGGTTTTCGCACCCCCAAAGTATGAGACATATGCTAGATCAGAGATCCGAAGAAAGGGTTTGCGAAAAACATCGCGTCTTTGGGCTTTAGGGTTGAGGGCTTAAGGTAGCAGCCCCGCTTGAACCAAAGAAGGGTCCCGCCTAGAGAGAGCCGAGTCTCCCCCTTAAAAAAGCAACTTCTTCTCAGAGCTACATTTTGGGCTCCTGGAACATCCCTCCCTAAACCCTAAACCCTAAACCCTAAACCCTAAACCCTATCCTCCAAACTAAAGAATGTACGGTAATCGAGCCCATCATGTAGACCAACTCCCCACATGATCAATCCAGGCCCCCTAAAGAAGTGCCGATTAAAATCCGAAGCCTTCTACAAGGTCCCGGAGTAACCGAGGAATAAAGACGGTACATTCTGACCTTCACTGCGTCTTGGCTCTCTCAACAAACCCTAAACCCTAAACCCGAAACCCTAAACCCTAAACCTAAACCCTGAACCCTAAACCCTAAACCCTAAACCCTGGGGCCCCTTAGGGTGGCCCTTGCAGCATCCTCAGCGCCCTGCCAGGAGGTCTGCCTTGTCGCAAGCACGGCCATCGGGCAGCACCACCGTCTCCTGTTGCAGCACAGGGCAAGCAAAAGGAAACGAAACGATGGGTCCTGCCCTATACCCTAAACCCTAAACCTTACTAAACCCTAAACCCTAAACCCTAAACCCTAAACCCTAAACCCTAAACCCTAAACCCTTGATTTGAGGCTCTATAGGTTCGATGAGTCCTGTAGGTTTAGGAGTCAGGGATCCCGGGGAGAGCAACTTCAGCATAGGATGGTCTGTATGTGCACTCCTGTAACATGTGACACCCCAAATATCCCTAAAGCCGAAACCCTAAACCCTAAACTAACCCTCAACCCTAAACCCTAGCCATAAACCCGTAAATCGTCAGCCCTCAGCCCTGAAAATTGGGATGTTCCCCCTTATACTAACAGTCCTTGATAGGGATGATAATCGGGGGTACTTTCATCTAGACTAAATGGGAACATCCCAAGGTCCTGCCCTAAACCGTAAACCCTAAACCCTAAAACCTAAGCCCTAAACCCTAAACCCTAAAGCCTAAAGCCTAAAGCCTAAACCCTAAACCCGATTCAGGACCGTTAGTAGAAGGGGGAACATCCTAACCTGAAACCCTGAAATCCTGAAACCCTGAAACTCTGAACCCCGCACCCCTAAGCCCCGAAACCCTAAACCCTAAAGCCCTAAACCCTCAAACCCTGGCCTGCGGCCCCAATGCTTGCGCCAGCATGGCATACACCGACGCGCAGTTGGGCTCGATCCTCCAAACGGTGGAGTTGTGGCTGAGGGCTGGGTTTAGGGTTTAGGGTTTAGGGTTTAGGGTTCAGGGTTTAGGGTTCAGGGTTCAGGGTTCAGGGTTCACAGGGTGTGGGGTTGGGGGTTCAAGGTGTCGTGTGCAGTGCTCCGGGCTTGTTGACTCCGACCTTGCCCTGCGAATTCTGTTTCTGGGGCCCGATCCAGAACCCCCACAGAAAGGGTGCGTTACGAAGTCTCTTGGGGGCGCTCAGGTTTGGTATCCTCCCTTCCATCTAAAGGCTTACAATATTAGGGGCACCAGGGTCCTTGTTATAAGGGGATCCTCCGGTAAGCCTAAACCCGCAACCCTCAACCCTAAACCCTAAACCCCTAAACCCTGATTAGCCCAAACCCCGTTTGCCAACAGCCGCCTCAAAGCTTCGAGGAGGAGCTCCCGCCGACCCACAACTGAGCATGGAGAGATGGGTTTAGGGTTTAGGGTTTATAGATTTATAGGGTTTATAGGGTTTATAGGGTTTATCGGGTTTATAGGGTTTATAGGGTTTATAGGGTTTACAGGGTTTGTAGGGTTTATAGGGTTTATATGGTTTTGGGCTTAGGCTTTAGGCTCCAGGGCGCTTATGGACAAAGCTCTGCTCTCTGAACTGCTTCCACCTACCTAACCCCAAACCCCAAGCCCGAAGCCCTGCACCCTAAACCCTAAACCCTAAACCCTAAACCCTAAACCCCAAAACCCTAAGCCCTGCAAAGACCCCTCAGCCGAACCCCCGCGCCTCGCCGCACGCCGCGCAGGGAGAGAGCGAGGCGCTGGCCCGGCCGCAGGGCGCCAGCGAGGTCGCCTCGGTTTTGGGGGTTTTGGGGGGGGGGGGGGGGTTTTGGGGTTTTTGGGTTTTGTGGGGTTTTGGGGGGTTTTGGGGGAGTTTTGGGGGGGTTTTGGGGCGGTTTTGGGGGTGTTTTGGGGGTATAAGGGAAGATTGTTAGCAATTTTTGCGACTCCTACATTACCTTTTGTTTTTATTGAGTCTGGTCCAAGGCTGTTGGGTAAGGATCCTCCGATCGCCTTCACCAGGGACATAAAGCCTACCGCCACTTGTGTGGGCGGCGCAAAACCCCACCTAGCCCCTACTTCCGAGGGCGGAGCCGGAATGCAAGTAGGTACCCACAAAGAGAGCGGCGGGGTTTGGGGTGTGCAGATTGGGGCTTACCAGGGCAAAGAGGCAGCCTGCTGCTTTCTGCTCCGAGAGCCTGCTTAGATTCTGGGGAGGTTCTGCACAAACCAAAGCTCATGTTTAGAGTTTGGGGTTTGGGTTAGACGCCAAGCCAGAAGGTCATGGGTAGTGAGAGCTGAGCTCGGACGCAACAGTAGGGCCAACTGTACTCACAGCTGGTTAGCATTCATCTTGGGCGGGGGGGAAATACTTCTGACCCATGACTACCCTGAACCCTGAAACCCCTATACCCCTTCGCAACCCGCCTAAACCCGGAAGTTGGGATGCTCCCCCTAATACTAACAGCCCTCAATAGGGATTACAGTACCCCCCTATTCTACTCCGGAATAAGGAGCTGCTAGTATAAGGGGGGAAGTTCCCAACCCGGAACCCGAAACCCCCTGCAACCCCCATCTACCCCCGCAGGCCAAAACCATCTTCCAAGCTTGCAGGCGAGGATCTGTAGGCGCAGGCGTGCCTTCCAGAATTTCGAGGTTCACGAGCACAACGATGAGCTAATGCAAAGCAATGGTACAAGAAATAAGAACAAGAAGAAGACTAAGAAGAAGAAGAAGAAGGAGAAGAAGAAGAAGAAGAAGAAGAAGAAGAAGAAGAAGAAGAAACTGAAGACAACCAGAACAACAAGAACTGTAAATGCAGTCAGAAGAACAAGGAGAATGATAGGAATAGTAATACGAATATGAATAGTATCTATCACCACATCCTCTCCCACCGAAAGTACACGCCCTTCTGCGCCCTTCACCCTAAACCCTAAACCCTACACCCTAAACCCTAAACCCTAAACCCTAAACCCCAAACCCTTCCGCCCCTCCTGGGATTCAGCTCGATCGCGCGGCGGTGGAGGGCTGCGCGAGTCCAGCATGCACTGCCCGCAGTGACCTCTGAGGGGAAGGGTCCCAGCTGCAAAGAAAGTAACATAGGGGTTTAGGGTTTAGGGTTTAGGGTTTAGGGTTTAGGGTTTAGGGTTTAGGGGTTTCGGGTTTAGGGTAACACAGGGGCCTTAATAATTAGAATAGGGTTTTGGGGGTTCTTATAGTATATCTATAAAGGGGCCAAGGGTAATATAGGGGGCTTAATAATAATAGGGTTTTGGGGGTTCTGATAGTCTATCTATAAAGGGACCATAAGGGAATCCTACTAGTAAACATTCCGACCCCGATATTGGTTCGGGACTTCTCTCATGAGAAGAGAATGAGGCCTGTGCTTAGAGGCTTGGTGTTGTTGGGGTTGTACGACTAAATCCCAAACCCGAAACCCAAAACGTGAACTGCAGGGCTTACACTGCGTCAGGGTGAAGGGCTTTAGGCTTAAAGTGGTTTAGGGTTTAGGGTTTAGGGTTTAGGGTTTAGGGTTTAGGGTTTAGGGGTTCGGAAGCCCTTTCACCCGCCTTGTCCCAGGGCCCCAGGGAGAGACCGAGGTTGTTGAAGGCCACCTGGTTTTAGGGTTTAGGGTTAGGGTTTAGGGTTTAGGGTTTAGGGTTTAGGGTTTAGGGTTTAGGGTTTAGGGTTTAGGGCTTAGGGGTTTTAAGGGTCCAGGTCTTATCGAGATTTAGGTCTTGGGGTTTTGGGTGGTTTAGGGTCCCTGTAGGGCTTTTAGGGCTTTTAGGGCTTTTGGGGCTTTTGGGGTCTTCGGGGTTTTGAATCGATCACTCCGGGCCTAAGGCCTAAACCCGAAACCAAGATCTTCAGGCGGAGAGGTTTCTAGCACTCAGACTGCAATCTGTTCTTTTCTTAAGAACCCCTCCAAAAAATAGATCTTCCTCCCTGCTATCAGAAAACAGGGATGATTTATCTTTTTGTGGAGGGTTCCTAAGCACCTAGTAGCAATGTGGTGGTACATTCTGGGAGGGTCCAGAACTTCACCAGACCCAAGAGTGAACTAGGGATACAAAAGGTAGCCCTTGATAAGGCAAAGCCCTACCAAAAGGGAATAAGGGCCTACTCTGGGTCCTGGCTCACTCGTCACGCATCCCTAAACCCTAAACCCTAAACCCTAAACCCTAAACCCTAAACCCTAAACCCTAAACCCTAAACCCGAAACCCTAACCCTAAACCCTAAACCCATGCTGATCAGCACATCTTGCCGCCACAGCGCCGCGAAGGTCGGATCCAGTTGGATGGCGGCGAGGTAGAGAGACCTGGAGGTTTACGAGCAAAGGGGTACCTTATTGGGGTCCTTATTATAGGGTTTAGCTTTTAGGATTTAGGGTTTCCGAAATTAGGGGTTCCTTTTTGGGGTCCTTCTTATAATCGGGAATTCTGCTATTTGGGGTTCATATTGGGGGTCCCCCTACTTTCGTACACCTCCACCTTGCTGATGAGACCGATCCCAAGTCTGCAGTGCTGGTCCTAATTCAGCACCCCTGCCGCTGCATGTCAAGCATTGTTGCACTTCTGCTGGCACAAGAGTCAGCACGTGAACCCTAAACCCTAAACCCTAAACCCTAGACCCTAAACCCTAAACCCTAAACCCTAAACCCTAAACCCTAGCGTGCCTTCTTGCGTCCTAGATATAGTACGGCATCCTTAAAGGAAGGACCCCAAAAGGGGCCCTAACTTAGAGAGCTACTCATGTTTCGATTGACATAGTTGCAGGGCTTCACGGTGGAAGTGCTGCATTCAGTCCTCAGGCGTGGGGCTGACAACTATTATTCTAGGGCTTAGGGTTTAGGGTTTAGGGTTTAGGGTTCACATGCTGACTGCCCTCTGCACGTTCAGCTCCAACTTAAACCCCCAACAGGCCCTACCGAATATAGGGGGTCGGAAGAATTACCTAACTAACAATCTTCCCTTCTGGCCCCTTGATATGGATGCCAGAACCCCCCCCCCCCCCCCCCCCCCCCAAAAAAAAAAAAAAAGAAAAACAAAAACATTATTCTCATTCTTTAGGCTCCCATTTCTCTACACCCTGGTGAACTAGGATGGCCCTTAAAACCCTCTGAAACATCTTCCCGAACATGCAATGTAAGCATGTAGATAGAAAAATATGGCCCCAAAAACATCACAACCCTAAACCCCAAACCCCAAACCCTAAACCCTAAACCCTAAACCCTAGACCCTAAACCCTAAACCCTAAACCCTAAACCCTAAACCCTAAACCCCATGGCATTGTGGCAACTTGGGCCAGGCCTCTGGTTCCAGCAGGTGCCATCGGACAGGCGCACCCAGTCCTCACGGCTCAAAGGTTTAGGGTTTAGGGTTTAGGGTTTGGGGTTTGGGGTTTGGGGTTTAGGGTTTAGGGTTGGGGGTTGGTTTGGGGTGTGGGGTTCGGAGATTGGGGTTTATACTGTTTAGGGTTCAGGGTTTGGGGTGTAGGGTTTAGGGTTTAGGGTTTGTGGTTTAGGCTTTGGTTTGGGGCAGTATGGGGCTTAGGGCAGGATGGGGCTTGGGAACCTCGAACCCTAAAGTCCCGAGCCTTAACACGCTGCAAAGGGCCCCCTGTAAGCCCAAAACACCAAAAACTTGCGGTTTAGGGTTTTGGGGGTCCAGTTTTTAGGGTTTAGGATGTTTTGGGTTTAGGGTTTGGGTTTGTTGTTTAGGCTTTCGGGTTTAGGGTTAAACCCCAAGCCCCCGACTGCCGCGAAAACCCACAAACCCGCTAAACACCTGCAAGCCCCTAGCGGCCTTGGGGTGAAGCAGGTTGGCCAAGTTGTTGTAGGCCAAGGCATAGCCTGGATCCTGGGTTTGTTTGAGAGTTTAGGGTTTAGGGTTTGGGGTTTAGGGTTTAGGGTTTCAGGTTTAGGGTCTAGGGGTTCTACCAGGGGTTTGGGGTTCGTCTATCCTTTGAACTCGAATTCAGGGCTTCTTTGTCACGGAACCTCGAAGGTTGGCTCGGGGATCAGCTGCATGCGTTCAGACTTTCCCTTGCTGAAGCTCAGGGTTTAGGGTTTAGGGTTTAGGGTTTAGGCATTAGGCATTAGGCTTTAGGGGATTGACGGGTTTAGGGCTTGTGGGCTCACAGGATGCTTTGGCTTTCGAGAGTTTTTTCCGGGTGTAAGAAATTAATAAGGAACCCTCACATCTCCCCTGAGCAAAAAACGCTGTGCCGGATTGCCAAACACGAGGGGCAGGGTTCAGAGTTAGAGTTTACCCTAAACCCTAAACCCTAAACCCTAAACCCTAAACCCTAAACCCTAAACCCTAAACCCTAAACCCTAAACCCTAAACCCTAAACCCTAAACCCTAAGGGCCGGGCTTTAGGGCTGAGCAATTGTGCGTCGTTCTCATGTGGATCTTGATGGCATGTCGCCCTTGGCGCCTCACTTCCGGGTGCAGGAGTAATGTAGGGTCGGAATATATACTAACAGTATCCCCTTATGGTTCCTTTATAAACACTAATCAACCCCAAAACCCTGTTCAAATTATTCAGACCCCAAAATTTAGTGGGGGTTTGGGCGTGGAGGTGGAACCTTCCTTCCCCCGAGGCCCACACAAGCTCAATCCCGCGAAGGAAGAGGCTGCGCTTGTCCCACATACGGCCGTCCGCGAGCTGGATTACCTGCCCGGAGCATGGCGGTTTCAGAAAATTAGAGGGGTTGGTCCTTTCTGGTGAAAAAGTTTTTACGAGGATCCATTCGACTTAATGTCGGGGGAAAAACGGGGACCTTACTTTGTGGAACAACTGAGGGGACATATCCGAGCAAGATCCTAACCAACAACACTCGAGCCAAAGCGAGCGCCCAAACCTTTCTTGGAGGTTCACGGGTACTTAGAAGTAGGGTCATAATTCTGGCAACTGTAATTCTAACCTTGTCCCTCCAACCCTAATTACAACTGCCCATGAACCTCCAAGTAGACCCTAAATTCCCAAGCTTGTTCAAGAGTACATGTTCAAGGCTGCGGCTTCTTTCTGGGTTGGGGGCGGGGCGGGGGTGGGGGAGGGGGAGGGGGGGTAACCCTCCAAGCTTCGATAGAACGTAGGGTTTATAGGGTTTGTAGATTCTGGGTTGAGGGTCAGGAAACTCAATTTGATAATCAGATAGATCAGGTGCTCCATGTCGTCTGGGTCTTTGTGAAGGGTGCGTGTGACTACATCGCCTGTGCTTGGGCCAAGTATATATCCTAATAACGAATCGTTGGCCGTCTTGATACCTTGAACAATACAAAACATGCCACCTTAGTAGGCCAGTAACCATGATACAATAAGGGCACCCTGATTTAGGGTGGTTACTTTATAAGGGAACAAAAACCACAAAAAGGGTAAAGGGTACTACTGGGCTACCAAGCCATAGCACACGTGAAGCCCCGAGCCTTAAACCCTGAAACCCTAAACACCTCTTTTCCCTATCGCGTCCGCCCTTGCCTCCGCCGGTCCTAGCACGACGCCGAGGTTGCCTGGGTTTAACGCTTATTGATCGGGTTTAGGGTTTAGGGTTTAGGGTTTAGGGTTTAGGGTTGAGGGTTGAGGGTTTAGGGTTTCGGGTTTAGGTAGGGCTTAGGGTGTAAGAGTTCTGGGCCGGTGGGAGATTCCCCGATCGGGAAGGTAGACTTTGCGGTTCCGGGGTTCTGGGTAGCTAAGATGACATTGTGAGAATTCCTAGCATTTTTGCTCTTTCTGAGTGTTCTGATGACTCTTGTCATGCGTACTATTCAATCTCCTCTCAGTGTTTTGTTTGTATTACTCCAGCTGCTGCTGCTGCTCCTCCTCCTACTACTACTACTACTACTACTACTACTACTACTACTACTACTACTGCTACTGCTACTGCTACTGCTACTGCTACTGCTACTGCTACTCCTACTACTACTACTACTACTACTACTGCTGCTACTGCTACTACTACTACTACTACTACTACTACTCCTACTACTACTGCTACTGCTACTGCTACTGCTGCTACGACTGCTACGACTACTACGACTACGACGACTTCTACGACGACTACTACTACGACGACCACCACCACCACCAGCACCAGGGATGGCTCGAAGTGAACACAACAGATGAGATTCCCCTGGCCCAATGCAAAAACAAAAACACCACAACCCACCAAAGGTTTTCAGGAGGCTATACCGTCTGCTCGCAACCAGGCCGCAGTGTGCCACGGCATTGGAGGGGTCCAACTCCACCTGTAGGGTTGGTTTAGGGTTTAGGCTTCGGGATTCCGAAAGTTTAGGGTTTAGGGTTGAGGGTTTAGGGTTTAATTAGGGTTTAGGGTTTAGGGTTGAGGGTGCAGGGTTTAGTAGATGGAATGTGGGTTATGTAAGAACTATTCCCCAAACAAGGTCACCGTGCGGGAGCACATGGCCGGGCACGCAGCGCTCTTCTTGGCGTGGCGCCTGTGTTTGGTCGAAATCATGCTCTCACCTGGTGCCAGGTTGCTTTTTGTAGCTAGGCAGAGTAAGCTGAATGTCGGTCGGGTCCAGTGCTCACTCCAATCGCGCTCGCGCACTTGAGATTGCTCCCCGCATGTACGTACATCTCCGCAAGCAAGAATCGAGGAGGAGTACTTGCGTCAGCACAAAGAAGCCGGGTCTGCATCCCGCTCCGTTCTATATGGGGTTTACGAGAATACGGGACGCCGGATATAACCCCCAAGTTAGACAGACCACAATAAGGTAACCCTAATTTCGGAAACCCCCATATAACGCTCTTAGACTGCTCGGTGGGTCTATTGGCGTGCTCGCGGTCATTTCGGAGTTCTCTTGGAGTTCCTTGGAGAGCACCCGAAACCCGAAACCCGAAACCCGAAACCCTAAACCCTAAACCCTAAACCCTAAACCTCTTGGCATGCCCATGAGGTGGTCCTTCACTGTTTGGCGATGCACGCCGGCATCATCCTACAATTTACCCCAGACCATACCCCCGAGAGGGGCATCCAAATGATTTGGTCCAGGGGTTTAGGGTTTAGGGTTTAGGGTTTAGGGGTTTAGGGCTTGTGGTAGCATCACTTCCGAAACCATCGGCAAGGACCAATCCATTCGGGTTGACGAAGCTGCCCTGGAAGCCCATCACTCCTGAACCCTATGTCCTGAACCCTAAGCCCTAAACCCCAAACCCTAAACCCCAAACCCTAAACCCTAAACCCTAAACCCTAAGCCCTAAATCGACGGTTGGGAGGCAGATGGGGTTGTGGCGTCGCAAGTGTTTCTGGTGTGCTGGTCGTGCCATATACGACGGGCGACATACGAAAACGCCCTCAACTCGACAACTCCCAGAATTCACCAAACCATATCAAGAACTCCAAAAACATGCACCAAAACCCTACATCCTAACACCCTAAAGCCTAAATCCTAAACCCACGAGTTGTCCTGAAAAAGGCAAATCCCGGGGCGCCGGCGGCTCGAGCGAAGAGCGCCCGACGGTTCATCTCCCGACCTCCCAGGTTCCAGACCTGCCAGCGGATGTTCCCCGAGTCTCGGGGGACTATGTATGTGTACATCTATTCTTAGGGTTTAGGGTTTAGGGTTTAGGGTTTAGGGTTTAGGGTTTAGGGTTTAGGGTTTAGGGTTTAGGGTTTAGGGTTAGGGTTTAGGGTTTAGGGTTTAGTGTTTACGGTTTAGGGTTTAGGATGGGTTTAAGGTTTAGGGTTGTATCTGTGCGGATAGATACGTATGTACACAAATACAACAGGGGTACCAAAAAGGCTCACAAAATCCTAGACCCCCGCGTAATGCTAACAACACAGTCTGCAAGCCTGAAGGGTTTAGGGTTTAGGGCTTAGGGTAAGCCTGAACTTTGAGCTATACTCCTGTGGCCCGATTGTTTGGGGCTTCATAGGCCTTAGGGCTTGGTACGGCACAGGGTAGGAGAGTACAGGGTGTTCGGGTAGAGGGCCTCTAAACCTAAAACCCTAAAGCCCTAAACCCTAAATCCTACTGGAGCGAGCCGCAGGCGCTGCGATAAGCAGCGGCGAGCGATACCGCGTGGCGACAAGCCCGCGGACGAGCCCGAGCCTTCAAGCGAAGCCTGGCGAGGGCTCGGGGACGTTGCGCGCGGTGAGCGCGGCCCACGCATAGAAGGGTTTAACCCGCGTGCCAGCGTCAGTCTGGCTCCAAAGAGAACTACCCCAAACCCCAGGTTTTCAGTCACCCTGCCCTTGTGCATTTTGTTGTGGTTTTACAAGGTTTTCAGGGGCTGCAAAGGCTCCAGGGGCTTCCTCTCAGGGTCCCCAGCGTTCCCAAGGGGGTCGGGGCGGCTTTTAAGGTTTTTCAAGCCTTGTGCTTGAAGGTTCTCAAAATTTCCAAGCTTCCGCCAAAGGTCCCAGAGGGTCCCAGGGAGGCCCCAGAGGGGGTCCCAGGGCGGGTTTTAGCATGAGAAGCCTCCTTCCAAGGACGGATTGAGGAGATTTAATGGTGATGCTTTCGTCGCGAGGACGCTCCCAGGACCAAAAACCAAAGGGAGCCCACGACATAAACCTGTGGATCTTGTAAGCCCACTATAAACATCATTGTAAAACCCTAAACCCGCCCAAGGTTGAGATGTGTGTGGGTGGGTTGGGAGAGCGCGTTGAACCTGGGCGCACACCACAACTCACGTCCCGCGTGGTGTGTGCGCGGAACCTTGGCAAACCCTAAACCCTAAACCCTAAACCCTAAACCCTAAACCCTAAACACTAAACACTAAACCCTAAACCCCAAGCTTCGGCAGTGCCTCATCGGCGTCCAGAGTTGCGCCCAAGGAGTTGTGAGCATTGCCTCGTTGCACCCATGTTTCTTAGGGGAGTTGCATGGTCCGTTCATATGGGCCGGTTTAGGGTTTAGGGTTTAGGGTTTAGGGTTTAGGGTTTAGGGTTTAGGGTTTAGGTCCCTGAATGCGGGCCCTCAAAAGGAGACCCCTATGTACCCCGTATATACCCTATACAACCCAAGGGCCCACACTTCAGAGCCCGTTTAAAGAAGGTAAGGGGCCACACTAAGGGCGCATATAACTTCCCTGAGAATGTTCCGCTTTATGGAACCAGGGCGCCTTATTGCTGAGGCTTGTTTAGGGATCATTTAAGGGCTTGTCAAGGCATTGTTTGGGAACATGGGCCCCTACGCTCTGGCTGCTGACGATGATGAGTTTGACTACTATGATGATTAAGACCATTCTGCGTATTGTGAGTTATGAAGCATCCTAGAACAATCATGAGTACTTTGATTACTAAATCTCCCCCCCCCCCCCAACGGACAGAGTTTGGCTCCTATGGGTGTTTCAGGTTGCCTAAGGGCCGCGTGCACTCAAACCAAACTACACCGGCGAAAGGCCGCGTGCTAGCGACAAAGCTCGCGATGTGACTCAGAAAATTACACAGCTCACTTGGAACACTCTGGCAAGCATGAATGTGTGGTCCATTCTAAGCAGACTCTATGCAGCAAACCCCAAGCCCTCAATCGCTTAGAAACTGAACATGTGCTCAAGAACGGTCTCGAATGGAGGGGCAAGCTCGGGGCTGGGGGGCTTGGGGTTTTGGACTTGTTTGGGTTTCGGGTCGCGGGCCTCAGGTGACCTCGGGGCTCTTAATAGCGCTTGCAGGCTTGAGGCTAATAGGGCTTCAAGTACTTTTAGTAAGCCTG